TTCCCAGCCTCATTACCTATCACTCTCCCTCCCTGTACAATTCAACCAAACTGGCCTTCTCTCTTCCTTCCACGTGTCTCCATACCTGGAATGCCCTCCTTCCTCAGCTCTGCCTCTTATACTGCCCCTCTTCCTTCAAGATGCCACCCAAGTACCATCATCTTCATCAAGAATTCTTAATGTTTTTTGTGTCATGGATCCCTTTGGCAGCCTTGTGAAGCCTGTGGACTCCTTCTCAGAAGAAGAGTTTCAGTTAAGTCAGTGAAAATAAAGATGTATTTTTTCCCATCCAAATTCCCAGATCCCTTGGGATTAGGTTACAAACCTCTGTTCTATAGGAAGCTTTTCCTTATCCCCCCAACTGCTAGGAATTTCCCTTCTTAACTAACTTGTACCATTACTTCTTTATCCTTATTCTGTATAAACTAATATAATATGATATAATGTGACATAATATATATGATGATATGATATAACATGACTAATGTAACATAACAAAACACAGCATATTATAATATAATGTAACATAATATGATATGATACAAATTTCATTCTTTGTACTTGTATCCCCAGCACTTACCACAGTATATGGCACATAGTAGGTGCTTAATAAATAATTTTTGATTGAGTAATAGGAAGGATAGACTGGAGTGTAAGACAATGGACATGAAATCCCCTGTTGGAGGCTATAGTATAACTGGCATGTGGTAATGCCAGCCTGCCCTATGCTAGTGGCATTGGGAATAGAAACAGCAGATAGGTGCAGGAAGGGCTGCAGAAATGGAATCAGCAGGACTTAGGAAATGGATAGGAGAAGTGGACTGGGAAGAGTTAAAGACAACTCCAAGGCTACAAACATGGGAGAATGAGTAAGTAAATCATGGTGCCACAGACAGACATAGCGAAGTCAGAAGGAGGATAATAAGCTTGGTTTTGAACATGATGAGTTTGAAGTATGCTCCTAGGACATTTACACAATATCCTGAACACATCTGCAAATGTAAGTCTGGAGATCAAGAGAGAGGAGATGGAGATAAAAACTGAGGAGTCATCCACAAAGGGTAATACCATAAACAAATTAAGACAGCAAGGAATAGTTTACTTGTCCAATCTATGGAGAAGGGAAGAATGTATGATCAAATAAAAGATAGAGAACATCATGAAACTGGGTAATTATAAAATGGATAATTTTGATTACATTAAATTTAAAAGTTTTTACACAAACAAAAAGTGATGCAACCAATATTAGAAGGAAAGCAGAAAGCTGGGAAATAATTTTTACAGTCAGTGTCTCTGACAAAGGTCTCATTTCTCAAATATACAGAGAACTGAATCAAATTTGTAAGAATACAAATCATCCCTCAATTGATAAATGGTCAAAGGATATGAACAGGCAGTTTTCAGATAAAGAAATTAAAGCTATCTATATGCTATGAAAAAATGCTCTAAATTACTATTGGTTAGAGAAATGCAAATTAAAACAACTCTGAGGTATCACTTTACCTGTCAGATTGGCTCATATGACAGAAAAGAGAAATGATAAATGTTGGAGAAGATGTGGAAAAACTGGAACACTAATGCATTGTTGGTGGAGTTGTGAACTGATCCAGCCATTCTGGAGAGTAATTTGGAACTATACCCAAATGGCTATAAAACTGTGCAAACCTTTGATCCAGCAATACCACTTCTAGGTCTACATCCCAAAGAAATCATAAAAAATGGAAAAGGACCCACATGTACAAAAATATTTATAACAGCTCTTTTTGTGGTGGCAAAGAATTGGAAATCATGGGGATGCCCATCAAATGGGGAATGGCTGAACAAGTTACGGTATATGAATGTAATTGAATACTACTGTTATATAAGAAGTGATGAGCAGGTGGATTTCAGGAAAACCTGGGAAGATTTAGATGAACTGATACTAAGTGAAGTGAGCAGAACCAGGAGAGCATTGTACAAGTAACAGCACTGTGGGATCATCAACTATGACAGACTTAGCTCTTCTCAGCAATACAATGATTCAAGACAATTCCAAAAGACTCTTAATGGAAAATGCTATCTACAACCAGAGAAAGAAGTATGCAGTTTGAATGCAGATCGAAGCACATTATTTGCTTTTTCTTTTTCTTTCTCATGGTTTTTCCCTTTCATTCTGACTCTTCTTTCACAACATGACTAATGTGGAAAATATGTTGAAGATGATTGTAGAGATATAACCTATATCAGATTGCTTGTTATCTTGGGAAGAAAGGGAGGGAGAAAAAATTGGAATTCAAAATCTTACAAAAATGAATGCTGAAAACTATCTTTACACATAATTGGAAAAAAATAAAATACAATTAAGAGAACACAGAAGATTGGGGAGAGGGTCTGGGCAAAGGCGCGGAGGTGGGAGATGGGCAAGGAACAACAATTTGAGCCAGTTTGGTAGGGTTCGTGAATAAGTCTGGAAAAGTTGACTAGAGCCAGTTTGTGAAGGGTTTTAAATGCCAAACTGCAGAGTTTGGAGAGACAACAGAAGACCACTGGGGAGTGATATAGCCTGACCTGTGCATTAGGAACATCGCTTTGGCAGCTAGGTAGAGGATGGGCTGGAGAGGGGAGAGACTGGAGGTCGGTGAGGAGGCTATTGAAGTGGTGGGATAATAAACAGCTCGCCTGTATAGAACACTTCAGTTTTTGTAAAACCTTTTAGACAGCACAAACGTTTAAGGTAGGTGGTATGATTTTACCCTGTTTTACAGATGAGGACACTAAAGTCCATGGAGGTTAAACGAGCTGGCTAATAAGAGTCAGAGTCAAAATTTGAACCCAGGTCTTTTGACTCCAAATCCATTGTAATTTCACTAAACCATGCAGAGGCAGCAAGGGGGTGTGGTGAATAGAGTGCTGGGCATGGAGTTAGGACTTATTACTTACTAGTATACTTACTAGCTGTGTGATCCTGGGCAAGTCATTGTTTGCCTCACTTTCCTCTGCTGTAAAATGGGGGTAATAATAGTTATGAGGATCAAATGAGACAATAATTGAAGAGCACTTAGCGCAGTATCTGGCACATGATAAATAATAAATCCTTCTTCTTTCCTTCCCTCTTTTCTTCCTTGTTTTCATTCCTTCTTTCCTTCCTTCCCCCTTTCTTCTTTCCTTCTCTCTTTCCTTCCCTCCCTCCCTGTTTCCTTCCTTCCTTCCTTCTCTTTTTTCTTTCTTTCCCTCACTCTTTTCTTCCTCCCTCCTTCCCTCCCTCCCTCTTCCCCTCCTTCCTTCTTTCCCTTTTTTCTTCTTTCCTTCCCTCACTCTTTCCTTCCTTCCTTTCCTGAGGCCCCCCAAAATGACTTGATTTCTAAGATCCTTTCCAACTTGAATCCTGTGATCCCAAGATTTATAAAGATAAATAGAGGGAAAAGAGAATGTGTACCAATCAACACAGCCCCAATAGACAATTTCCCAGTCTGCCAAAGGGGCATAATAATACATATCCTGTTCATTTTAGAGAATTTGCAGGAAGATACAATGAGAATAAGATAGCGCTTGTGAAGCATGAAGCATTTTGACATGTGTGTGGCAGAGATGGACATCTTGTCCAGTCAAACTGCAAATACTGTGAGCCAGAGCTTTTATGATCAGCCACACTGCTATGAAGATGCTATTTTTATTTAATTCTCTCCTTCTCTCTCTCTCTCTCTCTCTCTCTCTCTCTCTCTCTCTCTCTCTCTCTCTCTCTCTCTATCTATCTCTTTTCTCTCTCAACTCCTTGAACCACCAGGCCGGTGAGTGAAGTGAACACAACCCAGCCAGGTAGCATGTTAGACAGGAGGACAGCATTACATTCATACAGATCCCTATCTGAGTCCTCCCTCCCCTTCCAGCCAGCACCTAGGATGTGATGTTTGAGGGATCAAAGATAACAAAGCAGCCTGAGTTGGTTTCATTTTGCCTCCTTCCCCCTCCCACCACCCGAAACCTGATGCTGGAGGAGACAGATTTAGAGAGTGTACAACCACAGAGAACACAAACATTCTGTTTCTTTCCCTCAAGAAGAATAATTTATCCCAGGCTATGTCCTTCTGACAGCAGCCTCTGAACTGTGCCTGAATCCCCAGTGCAGTGCCTACCCTTAGGTTCTTCAATTTAGCTATGAAAGGGAACAAAAAAGACATGGAAGGATGGGAGAGATGAAAGAGAGTGAAGGAAGGAGAGGAAGAGAAGGAAGAGGGAAGGGTAAATGGAGAGTCAGATGAGGAGAGAGAGAGATAACAAGAAAGGGAGAATGATGAATGAGAGAATGAGGAAGAAATTGACACTATGCCTACCACTTGATTCAGAGGTACTGCTAGGTCTATACTCCAAGAGATCAAAATCAAGAGGAACAGGATGCATGTGTATACAACAAATATTCACAGCACCTCTTTTTGTAGTGGCAAAGAACTGGAAATGAAGGGCATACTCATCCAATGGGGAACAGCTGACCAAGTTATCATATATGAATGCAATGGAATGCTATTTTGCTGTAAGAAATGTTGAAAGGGATGGTTTTAGAGAACTCCTGGAAGAACTGTCTGAACCCATGCAGAGTGAAGTGGGCAGAGCCAGGAGAACAATTTATATAAAAATGATATTCTAAAGACCAACAACATTGAAAGACTTCCGAACTCTGCTCAATATGTGATCAGCCACTATTCTAGAGCACCAATGATGAAGCATGCTATCTACCTCCCAAAACAGAGGGGTGGGGGGGGACTTAAGATTCAGAAGGCAACATATATCTTTGGACATGCCCAATGTGAGAATTTGTCTTGCTTGACTAGGCATATTTTTCACAAAGATTTTCTCTTTCTTTTCTTCTTTTCTCTTTTTCTTGAAGGGAAGGTAAGAGGGAGAAAAAAACCAAATGCTTGTTAAAAGTGAAAAAATACAATTAAATTAAAAAAGAAATAGGCTGTGCATCAGAGATAGAGGAAGGCTAGGGGAAAAACAAAGGGTGTTGAAGGAGAGACACTCACTGCTTTGAGAATACTGACAGCTTCTTTGCTGAGCCAGACTGGGTAGAGCACATCATCATGGAGGATAGACTCAAAGAGGTCATCTTCATTGTCGGCTTCAAAAGGGGGCTGCCCAGCCATCATCTCATACATCAGCACTCCTAGGGCCCACCAGTCCACTGAGGGGCCATACTCCAACTCCTGAAGTATCTGTCCAGGGCGGGAAAAAACTAGTTAGTGGCAGGGCCAGGACCCTAGAAAGAGCCAAATAAAGCTTGGGCAGACAGCAGGGGGAAAAGGCAAGAGGGGGAAGCTCTGAATGCTGATTTTTTCTGACTGGGTTTTTTCCCTTAGTTAGGACACTCCTAATTAAGAGAAGTATGTGCCAATGCTGTGTGCTTGACCAGCACAGAAGCAATCCCTGAGCTAGTGCCACCACTAGAAACTGAAACATGGCTTTTCTACGTGATACAAAATCCAGCCTTATCCATCTGAAACAGGTTAGGTGGCATCTCACTAAGAAGTGGGATGAATGCATGGTATCTCCAGGCTCCCCTCACTCTAGAATTATCATACATTGGGAACATGAAACATAGATTGCAGAGTGGGAAGGGAAGCCAGAGATGATTTACTGCCATCTCCTTATTTAACAGATGAGGAAACTTAGGTTTGGGGAGGTGAGGTAGCATAGACTTCAAACTCTAGTTCGGAGTCAAAGGGCCTAGATTTGAATCTGGCAAACTGTTCCCTGTATGACCTTGGACAAACAAAGCAGTATTTGTGTTTTGGTTTCCCTGTCTGTAAATGAGAGAACTGGAGTATATGACCTCTAACATCTCTTCTAGTTCCAGACTCTAAATGCTTAGAAAGGAAGTACACAGCTTAATAAAAAATAAGACTCAGTGAAGGGACCAGGCTTAGACCACAATGGGGTCTGCAGACCCAAGTGCTCCACACCCTGTCTGGCTATGTGGCTTTACAATAGCCCCACAGCCTTTCTGGGGCTGAGCTGCTCCTTGGTGCCCTCTAAGACAGGGCATCCTTCCAGGTCCCTGGTCCTTGCGATTCTTGTAGGGACCGTCAAGGGAAGCCTCCCAGTGTGAGGCACCATTCACTGACTGAGCTCTGAGAGTAAGAGCAGTAAGTTAGGAGAGGACTGAGGGGTCTGGCTCCAGCCTAATGTGTTCATTCCTATGCAGTCTTGACAGGTTGCAGAATTTAGAATTAAAAAAGGAATTTGAGGAAATGTAGCCTGCCTGAAATTCTTCACTGGCTGGTTAATTTCTGTGGCCTTTATCTCAGTGTCTAAGAGCATATGAGGCATGTGAATCATGAGGTCAAAGCCTCAGGTTCTCTACCACGCACGACAGTTAACTTTGTTCTATTCCTTGGCTTGGGGGCAGCTAAGTGGTTCAGTGGATAGAGTGCCAGGCTTAGAGGCAGTAAAACCTGAGTTCAAATCCAGCCTCATACATTTCCTAGCTGTATGACCCTGGGCAAGTCACGTAATCCTGTTTGCCTCAGTTTCCTAATCTGTAAAATGAGCTAGGGAAGGAAATGGAAAACCATTCCAGTAATCTTTGACAAGAAAATCCCAAATAGGGTCATGAAGAGTCAGACATGACTGAAACAACTCAACAAAAATTCCACCCCCTGACCTTGACCAGCCATCTCACAGCATAGACTGTACAGCACTGGACTCTGAGGTTTCTTGGACTGCCTTATGTGCGCTGTAGGGTTCTTTTCCAGTTTGGAGTCCTACAATCCCATAATCCTTTCAGTTCTCAATTGTACGATAACTATCAAATGGGTGCCCACAAAGGGAGAATCGGTGAGAACGTGGATGGCTCAGCACAGCTCACTCCCTCTGCTGCAGAAACCACTCAAAGCATAGGGTTTTTTGATGATGGGGTGGAAGCATCACTGTCACGAGTCGTGGAGGGCACATTGTTATTGCCCAGTTTTTCAAGCCACTGACCCCTGCACCTTCCCCTTTCTTTGCTCAACAGCATCTCCACCAGAGGGAGGGCAGAAGAAGGAGAAAGAAATCAAAGACAAATCCACCCTAGGAACTGCCTCTGAGGAGCTCCGCTTAAAGCCTAGGGGCAGTTTATGGGAAAGTTGAAGGCGTCATTTTTATCATTTCATTCTCTTGCTCTATAATCATCCAGTGCTCCCCATGATCTTTGCAAAGAGGAGCTAAGTTTTACTTACCATGAAGGCTTAAGGTTAGAAAAGGGGTATTAAAGACAAAGTTCCTAACCAAAAAGAGAGACACTCCTTTAAGTTCTTTCCCCACTAGGCCCACTTTGAATCCCACTTCCTCCACAAAGCGTACCCTGATTGCTTCATTTTTCTAGATGAGCAAAAGTCAGTGGTTAAGTCGCTGCCTCCAGTGACAGGGAGGAGGCCTTGTCTCCGTTTCCCAGTACGTTGGGAAGGTGACTTGTGGGTGAACTTTACACTATCTTCCAGGTAGATCTGACTGAATCCTTGGTAACACCCTGCTCACCCTTCCCAGAGGCTTCCCACTTCTTTTTAGGTACCATCTTTTGTAAGATTCCTGCCAGGCTTAGCTCTGATAATCTCTACTTCCTAATTGCGTTCTTGAAGACTGAGGTGGTGACAGCCCGCATAATGTGGGAGGGCATCTGGCTTCATAGTCAACACCCAATGTGGATGGGAATCGGAATTGGGGGAAAATATGCAAGAGCTGACTCCAAAGATGGAAATGTCAAGGTCATGGTGCTGGCGAGAGAACAGGGTTAATCAGCCAGCCTGAGATGGACGTGAAAGAGGAGGGCATAAGCCAAAAGAGGTCTAGGGAAGGAAGCCTGCCCCAGCACAGGACATACAGTGAGGAGAAAAGGGTTGGGGCAGGGTCGACAAATACCCTAGGCTGCCATCTCTCATTCCTTTTGTCCCCTGCCTCTAATGACCCCAGATCCTTCCACTCGTATGCTTATTTGTCATCTGTTTGTATAGCTGCTTGCGCTTTCCAAGTCCACCTAGGTAATCTCCTTTATGTTTTCCCAAGAGCCCTGTTAGGGCAGGTCCTATGACTCTCCCCATCTGTCAGAGAAGGAACCTGTCAGAGAGGTTCAGTGACTGGATTGAGGTTACACAGTAAATGAGTGGTGAAGCTGGGTCCAGAATGGGGCTTCCTGACTTCCCACGCCTGAGTTTTCTGGAGCACTTGCTGAAAGGGCATATGAGTCAAGGATGGACTGGTCCTCTCTGCTCCTCAGAGACCACATATTAAGTGAGTATCTACTGAGTGCTTTGAAAATGAGTGACCTAAAGAGCATCCATGGAGTGGGGGGAGGGAAGGGTGTAACAAACACCCACTTGTTTCCATTTTATCACCATTAAAACCTGCCCAATTGTTCTTTTCAAGCATCTGTCATAGGCCATGCTGAAAATGATCTTTACCACCCTATAGTGAATTCAGTGTTTCCCTGGTCCATCTACCAGGTTGATTTGGAGAAGCTGAGAACAAACATAAATTTTAGGATGCGTTTATTTGTTTTTACTTTACTACTGAGAAGAGAAGAAATCACCAACTCTGTTACCATTTTCAATTTAAACATACAGAAAAGGTTCTCTTCCCTTCCTTTCCCTTGTTTTTGAGGGAGAAAAAGAAAACCCCAAACCAAATCCCTTGAGGTGATAAAGAGATCTGGATTTATTGTTAGTGATTTCTGAGTGATAAAATTCCTCACTCTTATAGTTCTCATAGATCGTATGGCAATGAAAGCAACATTGAGGGATAGATAATATGTTTTTCTTAGTTCTGAGCTTTCATCACTTCCTTCTGATTGAATTCGGCAGGCTTCTCCTCCTTCACCTCCCACCCCCACATTGATCACAATTCCTTCCAGTACCAAGGCCAGAGCAGTGCCAGGGAAAACCTGGTCACCTGGTACACTTTTGTGGGCTATCTGGCCCACCATGGATAGAGAACTCACCTCTGGTGCAATGTAATCAGGAGTCCCACAGAAGGTGGTCGTGGTCACACCATTCAAAATCCCTTCTTTACACATCCCAAAATCAGCCAGCTTACAGTGACCTTCTGCATCGAGAAGAATATTATCCAGTTTCAAATCCCTGCACAGACAAAAGAATAATCATACCATTAACGTTTCTCTGACATGAGATAAGGGCTTTGTCCAGTTGGATAGGGAGTCACATCCCATGGAAATCTGAAGCAGGGAAGTCTTTGAGGTTGGAAATCCTTCCCAGATGATATCCCAAAGGGTTCTCCCACAGCTGCTAAAATGTAGCCTATGTCTTGCAAAAAAAATGATTTTTTGCTTTCTTCCCTGGCATGGGGAAAGAATCTTTAATAATACTTGGGAATATATTAGAGTTTTTGCAAATCATTAGAAAGACAAATATTTATTAATTATCCCATACTCGACATCAATACAAGAGAGGTCTCATATCCAGCCCTCAAGAGGCTGAAGATCTGGTTGAATGAACAACATTCTAAGGCTTAGACCATTTGACGTCAAGCTCTGACGCTGCCAGTTTTTAACCAAGAGAGCCAGAGAATATTAGGGCTGGAAGGGACCTGATACAGATTTCTTCCCTCAGAACAGTCTTGAGTGTCAGTTTCTTTATCTTGATTAGGAGAATGATAATACTGGTATTAGCTCCCTCCCAGGACCCCTATGCAAATCTAATAAGATTATTTATGTTGTCCTTCATTATGAAGAGGACCAGTGCATCTTGACTCATGGGTAAATTGGATTTAAGAGAAGCAGAGTTGCACAAAGTTGTCAGCCTCACTCTCTCTTCCAGAGTCATCAAAGTCCAGATTATTTATGCGGAAGCCATCTGAAAAATGTAAAGGGCCACCCACATATAAAGGGACCATCAGCATTATTACTGACACGAGTAACACCACCTCTATCAATATAAGACAAGGTGGAATCAAATGTGGTACAGACTCCAAACACGTAGCAATTCAGATGAAGAAGAAATCAAAGAGAAGGCCTGAATAACATGGGGAAGGATTTATGGAAGCTGGGCTTTGCCAGAAGGTCCAGGTTTGGATAGAAAGAGAAGAAGGAAGGCATTTCTATAACAGAAATAGAAAGAGGATGGGGTGGCAAGAGTGGAGGGGCCAAAGTCACAGAAATGTAACTATTTGTGTCCCTCCTTTCTATAGCTAGAAAGAACATGGCACACACAGAAGAAAATAAACAAGTTGGCAATCCCAACAAGAAGAGAGGGAGTTAAATGTGTTTGGAGGGACATAGGAAATGGGGGGTGGAGTGGGGTAGAGTAAAAGGTCCTTGAATACCAGGTTAAGGAATTTGGCCTTCACCCTGAGGGCAGGGACGGGCCACAGCAGGCAAAAGACTTGAGGAAAATAATGTTTTAGGGATATTAAGGATGGAGAACCAGGAGAGACAGTAGAGGCAAGGAAAGCTCCTGGGAAATCAGAGCTCTCGGTGGAATGGCTTATGGATGGGGCCCTGGCATCAGATCCAGGAAGACCTGGGTTTGAATCCCACCTCTGATGCCTCAGATTTTTACAGGCCGTGTGTGGGATCCTGAGCTGGTCTCTGTTTCTTCATCTGTAAAATGCGGAGGGTTGGACACAAAGGTTGCTTCCAGCTATAAATCTATGATGCTAAGATCACAGCAGTAATCGAGTTATCTAAGTGTTTGCCTTGTCTGGAGATAAGCTCTGACTCATCTGTTCCTGACTTCATGTTCATACAATATGAGTTACCCTTAGGGAGCCTGGGTCTGGAGTCAGGAAGACCTGAGTTCAAATTTGGCCTCAGACACTTCCTAGCTGTGTGACCCTGGGCAAGTTACTTAACCCTGTTTGCCTCAGTTTCCTTATCTGTAAAATGAGCTGGAAAGGAAATGGCAAACCACTATGGTATCTCTGCCAAGAAAACCCCAAATGGGGTCACGAAGTGTTGGACATGAGTGAAACAACTGAACAATAACTGGAGCGCCTGCAATCAGGAAGATCTGAGTTCAAATCTGGCCTGCAACATCTACTAATTGGGTGGCCTTGGGGAAGTCACTTAACTTCTGTCTGCCTCAGTTTCTTCAACTGTAAAACGAGGATAATAGCGGCCCCTATCTTGCAGGATTGTTACAAGGATCAAATGAGAAAATATTTGAAAAAGCATTTAGCACAGTGCTCACGAGGTACATGGTAGTCTCTATATAAATACCTGTTCTTTCCCCATCCCCCTTAATGAGTTTAGTGCCAGCAATTAACGTGAGCCACACACTGCAGGGCATCAGAAAGCATGCCCCGTCGAAGGAAACCAGAAATCTGTTTATTATTCTCATTCTTTTCAAACAAAGAGTAAGAGGGTCTCTGCGACATTTTTGCTGAGGGGTCTGTGAACTTGAACTTCTGACTTTGTTTAACATTATTCACTCAGTGCAGTGGTGGGGGCAGGAAATATTTTCAACTCTCTCCTCTCCAGCATGTGACCCAGTTTCCGACTTCCAGCGAGGCAGGGACTAGTTCCGAAATGTGCTGACACAGCACATGAAGGACTACAGTCGGAGGAATAACAGTCATCACATGGGAGAAAATGTCTCTGCTAGTCCCTCCAACCCACCACCTTCGCAAAGCACAGCCAGGTCTCCTTCCCAGCCACTGCCAAGAGGGAAAGGGTCTGTATTCGATTCAGGCGGGCGAGCACTTATGAATTGCCTCTTGTTTGTGGAACCTCGGGCTACTTGCTAGAGGAACCCTAAAATTAAGATAAGAGAGACTGGCTGTACTCAGGGGCTGGGACGCAAGCACAGGTAAATACAGGAGACCTTAAGTGAGGAATACATGAGAGCCGCAGAACGTCTGGCTTCCTTCCAGAGCCAGGTCAAAGGCCATCTTCTGCAGGTGGCCTTTCCTGGTCCTCCCAGCTGCCAAGGCCTTCCCCTTTCAGATTATCTACAGCTTTTCTATGAGTATTTTCTATGCTCCCAGTAATCTATCTAGGTGTGGTCTCCTCCCTTAGAAAGTGCCTGGAGGCCAGGGGCTGTTTTGATGTCCCTGTCTTTCCTAATTTGCTCTGTATACATTTCCTTTGCATTTCCCCCATCAGACTGTGACCTTCTTGAGAGAAAGGACTGCCTTTCCTTGAGTCCCTAGTGTTTAGCACAGTCTGGCACATAGTAAGAGCTTGATGACTGACTAAAGTGCTCCTGGAGTCCTGGAGATCAGGGAAGGAGTCCTGGAGTCAGGAAAACTTAGGCTGGGCTTTAAAGGTTGGGTAATAATCCAACAAGGGCAGGTAGGTGGCACAGTGGATAGAATACTGGCCAGGAGTCAGGAAGACTCATCTTTCTGAATTCAAATCAGGCTTCAAACATTTACTAGCTGTGTGACCCTGGGGAAGTCATTTAATCCTGTTTGCCTCAGTTTCCTCATCTGTAAAATGAACTGAAAAGGAAACGGCAAACCACTATGGTATCTCTGCCAAGAAAACCCCAAATGGGGTCAGGAAGATCTGGACACGATTGAAATGGCTGATCAACACCACTACCAATAATCTAACAGGTAGGGAACAAGAGGAAGGCCATTCTCAGCATAAGGAAAAGAATGAGCAAAACCATGAAGGTAGGAAATATCAGGGTAACACGTACATGGGGGTGGGGGGGGGAAGGAGGCAGAGAATGCTTCAGTTTGTCTGGAGAGAAAGCTGAAGACTAGAAATGTGGGGTGGAAAATTGTGAGAAATCTTTGAAATTCAGACAGAAAAGTTTTACAGATGAGGAGAGAAGGAATACTGAATGAGGGAGGGGTCAGGAAAGCAGGCTGTTTTGCCAATTCTGTCACCAATAAGATGAGTGACAAACTGGGTGACTAAATGGTGAGTGTTGAGAAGAGATGATGAAAACCCAGCAAATGTGTCAAAGAAATTTGCTATTCATATTTTGGTTTATAAATAGTTTTTACTGGTAATGAGTGAAATCAGAGATTCAGTTTCTATGTGGAGCAGCTTTCCAGGTAAGCAGAATGGCACCCTAGAGCCTCTCTGGCTTCCAAACGTCACTGACACCTGAAATGCCACCACTAGACCTTGGGAGTCTGAGCCATGATGACCTTGGAGGCAGGATTCCAGGCTGAATGTTGCTGCCAGCTGAGCAGGGAAGTCTTGAGAAGCAAAGCTTCTAGTGCTTTGGATTTAGAATTTAGTGGGACTACAGTCATAGAATAATTGAATTAAACTGAATTTAATCCCCATACCTCTGGAGATTGAGCCAATGCAGGAGTGGTGGTGTAGGATTATGTAGTGTTTACTGGGAATGTTTGTATATTTATTTTTTCCTAAACTTTTAAAGTAAATATTCCTTTGTAAATGGAACTAAGATGTAGAGGATCTCCTAAAAGTGGGAAAACAATCAGTGGGGATTTAAGCCACTGGCAGAGACTAGACACATCGCAAACCCTTTAAGGGAACTGGAGAACCTTGGGGGAAGAATGAAGCCTAATGCACCTGGTCTTCAGGCAGTGGGGGCAGGATGGTCACAGTTTCACCCTCATTATCTTATCTAAGCTTCATTCCAACTTTATAAAGGAGGAGCTACTACAGATATTCTCCCCATGGTGCAGATGAGGACACTGAAGTTAAGATATATTAAAAGATTTCCCAGAGAGAGACAGAGAGACACAGACAGAGAGAGAGAGACAAGACAGAGAATGAGACAGAGAGAGAGACAGAGAGACAAGACAGAGAATGAGATGGGGGGGGGGGGGGGAAGAGTGTGTGTCTACAGTTCTCCTAATGCTTACATAGCAGTTGTTCGACAGATTGAGCTGAGGTGAAAATGGTTCTGTTTCTCAGCTTGACAAGCATTTGGAACTAAATTTATCTGGGCACCACTGAGGAATTCACTCAAGAACACTTAACCTCAAAGACACCTTCTCAATCCTCAGGCACACTGTTCAAACAAAACACAAGCACAGGCACATACCCACTGTGAATTCCTTCAGTCTTTTGGTAATAGTAAGAGAGGTTAAAGAATTGCTTCATGGCCCAACTATCTCAGTTGGGAGAGGGGCTGGCTCTGGCGAAAGACTTTACAAATACCACAAGAGTATTCATATCTTGGCAGAAAAA